CCCTCCTGCACCCTCAGAAACCCTAGCCTGGGGAGTGGGCGTGATGTGCTGCCGTCCCCAGGGCATGGGGAGAAGTTGGAGCTTTACCAGGCAGGAGCTGTTCAGGCACGTCCTGCTCCCTGCTTCTCCCCATCACACCCCGCTACCCTCACACCCTCTCTCCCCCAGCTCTACATGCCTGGCTCCCGCACACCCTCCCCAAAACCATGGTGCTGGCAGTGGTGGCCATCGGCTTCGTCCTCCTGTCTGCAGGCAGCTGGTTTGCCATGAGGAAAGCAAACTTGCTGAGGGTGCACTCAATCCCCTCATCCAGATCATTGATGAAGATATTAAAGAGGACTGTCCCCAGTACTGAGCCCTGGGGGATGCCACTAGTGACCGGCCTCCAACTGGATTTGACTCCATTCACCACAACTCTTTGGGCCCAGCTATCCATCCAATTTCTAACCCAATGAAGTGTGCGCCAGTCCAAGCCAAGAGCAGCCAGGTTCTTGAGGAGAATGTTGTGGGGAATAGTGTCAAAAGCCTTACTGAAGTCAAGGTAGACCACATCCACAGCCTTTCCCTCATCCACCAAGTGTGTCACTTTGTCATAGAAGGAGATCAGGTTAACCAAGCAGGACCTGCCTTTCATAAACCCATGTTGACTGGGCCTGATCACCTGGTTGCACTGTAAGTGCCACGTGATGATGCTCAAGATAATCTGCTCCATGAACTTCCCTGGCACTGAGGTCAAACTAACAGGCCTATAGTTCACTGGGCCTACCCTCCAGCCCTTCTTGTAGATGGACGTCATGTTTGCTAGCCGCCAGTCAACTGGGAGCTACTCTGATAGCCAGGACTGCTGATAAATGATGGATAGGGGCTTGGCCAGGTCCTCCGCCGGTTCTCTCAGTACACTCGGGTGAATCTCATCCAGCCCCATTGACTTGTGCACATCCAAGTGCCGTACCGGGTCACCAACCATTTCTTTGTGGATAGAGAGGGCCACATCCTGCTCCCCATCCCCTTCCACCAGCTCAGGGTACTGGGTATCCAGAGAACAATTGGTATTGCCGCTAAAGACTGAGGTGAAGAAGGCATTAAGCACCTCCGCCTTTTCCTCATCTCTTGTAACTAAGTTTCCCCCCGCATCCAATAAAGGCTGGAGATTCTCCTTAGTCCTCCTTTTTGTGTTGATGTATTTATAAAAATATTTTTTGTTATCTTTAACGGAAGTAGCCAGATTGAGCTCCAGATGAGCTTTGGCTTTTCTAATTTTGTCCCTGCACAGCCTCGCAACATCCTTATAGTCCTCCCTAGCGGCCTGCCCTCTTTTCCAAAGATTATAAACCCTCTTTTTTCTCCTAAGCTCAAGCCACAATTCTCTGTTCAGCCAGGATGGTCTACTTCCTCGCTGGCTCGTCTTTGGGTACATGGGGCCAGACTGTTCCTGCGCCATTAAGATTTCCCTCTTGAAGAGTGCCCAGCCTTCCTGGACTCCTCTGCCCTTCAGAACCACCTCCCAAGGGACTCTACCAACCAGTGTCCTCAGCAGCACAAAGTCAGTCCTCCGGAAGTCCAATACAGCAGTTTTACTGGTCCCCTTCCTGGCCTCGTCAAGAAGAGGGAACTCCAGCATTTTGTGGTCACTCTGCCCAAGACAGCTCCCGATAATCACATCCTCCACCAGTCCTTCTCTGTTTGTGAAGAGAAGGACTAGTGGGGTGCCACCCCTGGTAGGCTAACTAACCAGCTGTGTCAGGAAGTTATCTTCCACACTCTCCAGAAACCTCCTAGACTGCTTTCTCTGGGCTGTGTTGTGCTTCCAGGATATGTCAGGGAAGCTGACGTCCCCCACGAGAACAAGCGCCGACAGTTTCGCAACTTCTGTCATCTGCCTGTAGAACTCCTCATGCGTCTCTTCATCCTGGTTCGGCGGTCTATAACAGACCCCAAAGAGACTTCAAAGTGCTCTGTCACAGTACTCGATAGGGAGGGCTCAGAAGCTCACTACAACCTGCACTATACCTTCTCCAGAAACCCACAAGGCGTAGGAAAACTTGTAGTTCTTTCTTGTTAGCTGGTGGGCACACAGTTGTTACCTCACTGACCTCACCCACTGGGATATAGCAACATCCACCTTGCCATTTTACACCCAAGTTTCACATTTCCTGGGCCATTCCCTTGACCTTACTCTGGCCAATGGCAAAATGAGCCTTCAAGAATTTAGATGATTTACGTCGCTTTCTCAAGAATTCCTCTGCTTTGCTGCCCCATGTGAGGCTGCCATCAATGCACTGCAGGTGCTCAGGAGCTTCACCTTGTTCTACAGCCATCTGCATTACTCCATGGCAAATGGCAGGGCTGTGTTTGCACCCCTGGCACCGTCCATTGCAGGTGTACTTGCTGCAGGCCAAAGACCAGCCAAAAATTGATGTGGATTGTACCTCTGTGAGTGCATATTTCAGGAGGGAAGAAAACCTGCTGCACAACTACAGGTGGCAGAGGGAAGAATGAGAACCAGCCCTGCAGGCACCAAGGTCAGTGCAGCAGGAGGGCCGGAGGTGCTCCAGGCATGCAGCACAAGTTCCCCTGTGGCCTGTGGAGAGGCCCCTGGTGGAGCAGGCTGTCCCCCTGCACCCATGGGTCCCACATGGAGCAGATCTCCACTCTGCAGACCGTGGAGGAGCCCCCGGTGGAGCAGGTGGCTGTGGCCCATTTAGAGGCCCCACAGGAGCAGGCCTCAGGCCGGAGCTGCAGCCCGTGGAGAGGAGCCCACGCAGAACCAGGTGGTCTGGTGTCGTGTTAAGCGGTGTAGCTGATTAACCGTTATGAATCCAGTCGGATTCATGGTACTGAACTATCCCAATCACAGATTCACCAATACCTCATTAACCATTAGGCGCCTGGTTGGATTCAGAGCACTGAACTACCATGGTCAGGGATTCACCAAAAACGTATAACCACCCTTATTCTAGTTGTGTTTATTGAAAATTATTGTAATAAATGGCTAAGTACCAAATAGGATTACAAAATTTACAACTTATTAAATAGATAGAGGTAAGCAAACAGCGCTGGGTGCGCCGGGAGTCTCTGCTCCACCAAGACGCACACAAGTGATATCAGGCTTCTGATTTTTATGCTCCTAGGCTCCCACATATTCATTACCACTTCTAGAAAATGCAGGGTTATTATAATTATGTCCCGGAATCCGAACCCTACAGCTGGCTCATGCATATCAATCTCCAGTGGTCTCTCTGGGGGTCTCTCCTGCTGAAGGCTCATAGTCTTCCTCCCAGTTTTTTTTACTTGTCCTTCTCCTTTGTCCAACTAGGCTGGATGTGAGAGATGTGTGCAGCGTCCCCTGCAAGCTTTGTCTTTGAGTCATCCTTCAGCTTTCCTCTTCTCCTTAATCTCTTGGCCAGATATCAGAGACTTGCATAGTGTCCCATGCAATAATCATAATATTTAGCAGTTATTCTGATATTCATTAGTTCTCTTATCCCCCATGGACACGAATTGCTGGAATGTTCCTTTGCAAGATACAAGAACTATATGCATTAACCATCCTGTTTTTCTTAGACTTGGGTTATACAAGGGTATGAAAGACAGAAGGTCACATTTCATCATATCATGTGGCCCTAGGATTGTTCCATATTGACACGAATCAGATGAACACATTTCACACTATCATGGGTAGGAACAATGCATTCAAGTTTGATTTATTACAGCAACAGGAACACAGGTTCTTTGGATTGCCAGCCATAGTTACTGTCTGCAAAAACAAGCTAGCATGTATGAAATACACAGGTGACATACATGTAGGTGACACAGGTGTGCAACCTGGAAGTGCGTTAAAAGGCACAAAGACTCTATAGAGATTTCAAAGTTTCAGCAGAGACACACAGAATAACCAAGATTTCAAATCTCACCCAAAGGCCTCCCAATGGGGGAGAGGGTAGAAGAGAAGCTCAGCCCATCAACTGATCCCAGGAGTCAGGAGGTCCTCAGGATGGTGTATTCCCTCGGGGTGGTATCTCCCCTGACAGTGGTATCTTCCCCACCATCCCCTCTCTCTTAGGCCAATTTATATTATTTTCTATCTTTTAGGTGGAGCTTGAGTGACTCTAGTCAAGCATATCTTAGTTATGATTGGTGAAAAGTTATCCCGTCTCCGTTTAAAGTAATAGGCTCTGAGAAACTCAGAGTGCATGCTCAGAGAGGGGTGGTCACACATTGGAGGCAGGTAGCTTTTGGGATGGAGGCGTGTTTTGGTATTATAATGATATTAGGATGAGGAAAAGTACACTAGGGTACAGCATTTGTCAAAACATGACAGGTCCTTGTCTCAGGGTAGTAAAAAGTGTAGCTTGTCGATCTCGGTGTGCACAAGAAGAATCGAGTCCCTACATGTTCACAGAGCCTAGCCGCGGTGTCTCCACCCCACTCTATGCTCCGTACATTCCCTTAGAACCTGCACACCAGGTTCCCCCCATGTGATAGCATCTAAGGTTGGAAGCCTAAGGAACGCTTAGGTAATGCAGCTACGCCTAACCCTGAAAGCCTCTTAAGTGCTGTACATTTTCTTTAAAACATGAATGTTAGTTTTATTTTCCTAGTTACTTTAGGCAATTGCACCACATTAGCTGAAGGCTGCTAACTGGTAGTGTACTCCAGGGATCCAAATTACAGAATCACAGAATCACAGAACTTCTAGGTTGGAAGAGACCTCAAAATCATTGAGTCCAACCTTTGACCTAACACTAACAAGTCCTCCACTGCTATCAATGGCTCAGAATTCAAAATATGGTTATAATGAAAGTTTACACAGTGTACCCCTGCAAGTTTTGTCTTCTAGCCGTCCTTCAGCTTCTTTCTTTCTTCTCCTTAGTCTCCTGGCCACCTGGCCAGATATCAGGGGCTTGCATAGTGTCCCATTCAGAAGCCAGAACAGTTACTACTTGTTAGCAGTTGTTCTGAAACGCCCAGACATCAGAGACCTCAAAGAAAGAACATACAAATACAAATAGCTCTTTATTGACACTTGACGTGTTGATAAAACAGTCCTCATAGGCCATTCACAGGGACACTCCAGTCACATCTATAGCAGTGCTAAATCAACCACAAAGAAGGCAAAAAGGCTGTAACTGTTAGGAACAAGAGCTACCCTCAGAAAGTTTGCAGCTGACACCACAGTGCGATTCGCTCACCAGGGAGGGTTGGAGGCTGTATGAGAAAGAGGGAGTAGCTCCGTCCACTCAAATCTGTATATTCCCTTTGAGGAAGAGTATCCTGGAGGCTTGTGCTGTGAAGCATGCATGCATGGGCCTGAAGGAAGCTGTGGGACAAGTGCTTTGATGAGGGCATGGGAGGTGAGGGACTGTGCTTGCAGGAAGGAGCCTGAAACCCACATTCCCTCCAGCTCTGCCTCCAAGCAGCTCTTGCTGAATTTTGAACCCATTTTCCTATCCCATATTCCCTCCGTGCAGTCCTGCATCCTCGTGCCTCCCAGCTGAGCAGCTCCTCTCCTGCCTGAACCCATCTTATCCCAGAGTCCCCCACTGCACACCAAGGCCCCAGATGTCAACACTGGGAGCTGCAGAGAAGGGACACCTTGGCTCCTTCTTGGTATTGGTGTGGGATGGCTAAAACTCCATAGTGCAATGCTGGGGATGGTCTGTGGGTGTGGGGGCCAGCCATGCTGAGACCCCGTCCCCACCTGCCCCACAGCTGGATGCCCCCATGCACAATGTCCCTGCTCAGGGTTGTCTCCTGGGGATGGCGCATTGAGAGACAGAAGATCCAGCATAGGGATTTGTGGGCATGAGGTGCAGAGTGCCAGGCATGGCCACCCCGTGGACCTCTACATGGTGTCAGCAATTCTCAGATCTCAGGCAGTTTTCCATGACACATCTGCCAGGGCAATGTCAGCAGGTAGGGGAACTCCTGGGTGGCAGGGCACAGAGAACAGGAGCTCCCTTGCAAGACACATGGCCCCACACAGCAGTCAAAGAGGAGCTCTCCCATCTCTGCTCACTGTCTTCCCTTCAAATACAGAGCAGCAACATCAGCTGGTGCATTCTGAACCAATCCTTTATAACTCGCCTCCCACAGGACCAATACCCATCAAGGTGCCTCCATACAGGGCACCATAACTATCTGGGGATGTGCCCATTGCGGTCGGCACGTTGGGCACAGGGAGGTGCTGGAGTGATGCAGGAGCTGCAGAGCATGGCTACCTGGGGGTGCAGCCGTGACACCAACCCATTCTGGTATGTAGAGGAGGATCCCGCGATGGAGATGTGATTCTGTGGACAGGGGGCAAAGCCACGTGGGTGTTGGGGTTGAACACAGCCAGAAGGGTGCACGATGCAGTGACAATCCTTGATGGGGGAGAGTGCAGTCGCTTTTCCCTTGGGCATGCTGCCCCAGCTGCCTTGAACCCAATGGAAGCGGGAGCCTGGCCACGTTGTGGGTCATGCTCTGAGCATGGGGGAGCAGGCTGGGGACAGCATGTATCCCAGGAGGACATCAGAGCACCATGGCGACAGGGACGTCTCCAGGCTGTCTGGCCTCGTTGGCACTGTGGCTGCATCTCTCCAGGAGGAGGGTGATGATGGGGGCAGACAGCAGCAGGAGCAGGCTGAGGGCAGAGCGCAGGATCCAGACCTCCAGGGGCATGGCTGAGCCTGGGAGAGAGGAGGAACACAGTGTGGCTAAGGCAAGCCTTGGAGGACGGCAGTGCTGGGAAGGGCTGATGAGCAATGTCTCACCTCTGGAAGGGAGCTGGGCCTTGTGTGAGGGGCTGCTACCTGTGGGAGACATGTACACTCTGTGAGTCCCTTGACCTCTGAGTTATGGGCAATCCAAGATGCTGAGCAGACCCTGATCTCTTGTATTGCTTCCTGGAGCAAATGGCCAAAATGAACAACCAAGCTTGTGTAACTTTATTTTCATAGGTTCATAAAGTTTAGAGGGAAAACTTGGAGCAGTAGTGACACAGCCCGTAGTCCATCAACATCCCGAGCCCATGTTTTTTATGCATGGGCCCTGCAACACCTCAAGTCTGCAGCAGAGGTGTTCTGCCCTGTGTCCATCCCTACCATTTTTTGGTTGGTTTGTTTTTCCAGGGAGAGGTCTCTGGATCCCTGAGCATTCCAATATCTCTCCTTTCACAATATGGCTCCAGCCACAGTTTTAGTGCCAGAAATATTGTCCCCTTGCTCACACGTACCTTACGCTCTCAGCTCATGACAATTACTCTACTTGCCCTGCCATAGGCTCATCAATGTACAGGGCAGACCTTGGAGCTCCCCTGGCTCAACCCAGCATCCATCCACATCCCCAGCCCTTCTTCTCTGTGCATCGGCCCTGCACAGCCCCATGTCTGCAGCAGAGGTGGTGCTGCAGGGACCTGGAGGTCCTGGGGGTGCAGGAGGGAATCACTCACCTGGGGGTACAGGAGGTGCAGGAGGGAATCACTCACCTGTGGTTGATGGACTTGCTGGGGAACTCACCACATTGCCTGGCAGGACAAAAGGACAGGCTTAGTGTCTACAGTGCACCCAGCTCCTTCCCAGAATGAGCCTCAGCCCCATGGCCACATCCCTCCACTGACAGCCAGCACCATCCCCAGGGAAGGCATAAAATGCCCGTGGCTGTTGTGCCAACATGGGCCCCCATGGATCTGCTGTCTAAATTCCCTCGTGAGTGGTTAAAAATAGCTTGGCCAAGGTGTGCCTGCCAATTAAGTATGGCACCACAACTCTCATCTGTCTGTGATTCTGGGGGCTAGAGGATCACACAATCACAGAATGGCCAAGGTTGGAAGGGACCTCTGAAAGTCATGGAGTCCAGCCTTCTGCTGAGCAGGATCAGCTAGGACAGACTGCACAGAATGGCACCCAGATGGATTTGGAATATCTCCAGAGGAGACTCCACAGTGTCTCTGGGCAGCCTGTTCTAGTGCTCTGTCACCCTCCCAGTAAAGAAATGCCCCTCATATTCAGATGGAACTTTCTGTGCTCCCATTTGGGCCTGTTGCCTCTCACCCTTTCCCTGGGCACAACTGAAAAGAGACCAGCTCTCAACCCCCTCAGATATTTATAGACATGGATGAGGTCTCCCCTCAGTCTCCTCTTTTCCGGGTTAAACAGGCTCACTTCCCTTGTCTCCAGACCTCTGATCATCTTTGCAGCCCTCGTATGGACTATGCCCCTCCTGAACAGGGAATCCTAGAACTGGACACAAAATGCTTTGTGTTCCATGCAGGGAAGTGATTCCTTCCCAGGAGCTCTCAACCAGAGAAAAAATTCCCTCTCCCTTGCCATCACCACTCCACACACACCTCTCTTCAGTCACCCATCCCCATGCTCAACCTCATGTAGTGAGCAGCAGATGTCCTGGGTGGTCACGCCAGCAGCTGCACCTTGGGGCACAGAGGGTTTTGTTTAGAGGGAGTGAGAGCTGGGGCACCCACATGCTTGTGCCCATGTCCCTGCTGCTGAGTCCTTGCCATGTCCTCACTGTTGTGTCCTTTCCAGGCAGGCACCTTGTCACCCCTATGTCTCAGTCCAGCACCCCTGTGGTCTTCTCTCTTGGTTCAATACCATGTCCCTTTCAGCTGGTTTGATGTTCCACGCAGAGGTGTCCAAATACCTAAGAACTCCAGTATCTCCCTGTTCTCACCCAAGAGCTCCAGGCCCATTTTAAGAGCCATAAATGTAGAATTCTTCTTCACACATAGGTAACTGCCTAGCTTATGATAATCTCCATATTTCTCCTGCCATAGGCTCATCAATGTACAGGGATGATGCTGAAACATGCCCAATGCTCCATATCTGCAGCAGAGGTGTTGCTGCAGGGACAGGAGGACACCTTGAGAACAACTCTCTCTCTAGGGGCTTCCTTGGAGGAGAGGGAACACTCCCGTGAGGGAACCACCCCAGAGCCTGCTGCAGCACACAGCTCCAGCCTCAGCACAGCCATGTGGTGGCAAGTGCCTCCGTCCCTTCTCACCCCTCCAGCCCGGGGACATGTCTCACCAGGGACATTCAGGATGCGGCCAGCACTGAGGGCAGAGCTCCTCCTCTGTTTCATCTCATTCCTCTGCTGGTACCCGCAAGTATATCTTCCTGCACTTCTTGATGTGATGTTCAGGACCACAGCATAGCTCAGCTGCCCTTGCTGGGCTTTCAGACTGTACACCTCCTTCCCATCCTTGCAGAAAATGATTTGTCTTGCATGTGACACCACAGGGAGAATACACTGGAGCACAACTGTGGTACCTGGCTGAGCAGAACTTGAGTTCATTTGGAGAGCAGGAGCCAGGAGATCCCCTGGAGGAGACACAGCAGTGAAGTGCTGCCATATGGCAGAGCTCACAGTGGTTGGGCTTCCAAGTGCCCTGGGTCTGGGAGGGAAGGACTCACAAGTACCTGGGGAGCTGCAGATGCCCTGGGAGCTCATGCTGCCACCTGTACCAATGGGCAGAGAGGGATTTGCTGAGAGGGGCAGTGTCCAGGCTCATCCTGATGCCCCTGCCCACATCCTCACTGCTAAGCAGGCATCATCACACCTGCATGTTCTGATGCTGTACCTCTTCAATACCCCCTCCAACAATGCCACTTCCAATCCTATTTTACGTGGATTCCTTGTTCCAGGTAAGTCCAATAGCTCCGTAAAGACCTCAGCAGTCCTAGAGTCTGAGAGCAACACTCCAGACAATTTATGGTGTTGGAGATGTGTGCCCCTTGCTCAGATCTGTATCATACCTGGAGGAAGCCATCCCCATCCTGTCTTCCTCAAACAAACTCTGCCCCACAGTGCTGCACCACTGCCTCACACACGCTGTCCCCATCCTCCCCTCTGCCCACAACTGGCCTATCCTGCCCACAGCAGCAGACCTCCAGCCCTCAGCCCCCACACCCAGCAATGCCCCAACTCACAGAGTGCCAGCAGCAGGATGGCAGGGCCAGAAGGAGACAGCCTTGCCCATGGCGCCTGCCCCAGCATCTTTTGGGGTGCTGCTTTTGGGGAGCAGCTTCTGCTTCAGGTGTCAGCTTTGCTGTGAGCTGGGGATGGTGGGACAGAGGCTTGCAGTGCAGCCGGGAGCTGTCCTGTGGGCTTTCTGTGGCCGTATGAGCCTTGGCCACACTAAGCATCATCAGCAGGGCCATGCCTCCGCCGTTTTTACATCCGCTGCTTTTTTTGTGCCCCCGCTGTTATTTCTGTCCTCTCACACACCGCATCTCTTGCTGTTTTTACATGTATCTCAAGGGCAGTATTCTTCCTACAAAGGCCTCCTTCATCTTTTCCTATTGACAGACTTGGCTCATAGCTTTGCAGCTCTCCATCAGTCTAGCAAACATCTGCAGTCTGTTCAAAATCCATTTCTATCCTTTCCACACCCACCCATTTGTAGGGAAAGCCTACAAATTCATTTCCCTTCAAGCTCTCCATTGACACGAATTGCTGGAGCATTCCTTTGCAAGATACAAGAACTATAGACATTAACCACTCGGTTTTTCTTAGACTTGTGGTTGCACAAGGGTATGTAAGACAGAAGGTCCTATTCATCATACCATGCGGCCCTAGCATTGTTTCATATTGAGACGAATCAGATGAACACATTTCACATTGTTGTTATTATTATTTGCCTGTCTGAATAAACTGTCTTTATCTCAACTCACAGGCTTCACTTTCCCATTTTGCTCTCACATCCTGGAGCACGAGTGGGGAGGGTGAGTTAACGGCTGTGTGGTGTTTAGCTGCCGGCTGGGTTAAACCACACCAGGGCACCCACCTCATTCATCTGTATACCTCCATTGCCTCTAGTGTATCTTTTATCTGCAAAGTATTTGTAGAAGCCCTTTTGGTTGTCCCAAGGGATTTCCTCTAGCAATTGCTTGAAAAGGCCAAAGTTTTCCCTACAGAAGTCCAGGGTTGCGATTCTGCTTGCTATTTTGTTCCTGACACATGAGGTCCTGAACTGCACAATCTCATGGTCTCTGCAACCAAGGTTGCCCTCTACCTTCAGCCTTGATAAGATGAGGCTGAGAGGAGACCATTTCAATGTATACAAATACCCTAAGTGTGGGAGACAGTGAGATTTGGCCAACTTCTTTTCAGTTGTTGTTAGGCATAGGACAAGGGGTAATGGTCAAAAAATGGAGCACTGGAAGTTCCACACAAACATGTGAAAGAACTTCTTCACAGTGAGGGTGACAGAGCACTGGAACATGCTGCCCAGAGAACTTGTGGACGTTCCTTCTCTGGAGATATTCAATTCCTGTCTGGATGGCTACCTGGGCAACCTGCTCTAGGCAAGCTGCATTGGCAGGGGAGTTGGACCCAATGATCTCTTGAGGTCCCTTTCAACCCCTACAATTTGTGATTTTGTGATTCATCATGTCAACCAGCCCCTCCTTGTTAGTGACAACAACATAAAGAAGACCTAGCAAAATCCCCCACGATAACCATGGATTTGATCGTGAGGCTGCACTCAGAAGCCTGTAGAAGGCCTCTTCAGCTTACACATCCTGCTCTGGTTGCCTGTAAGACACACCCATAACAGTATCCCCCATGCCAGCCTGCCCCTTAATTCTCACTTGCAGACCCTCAACTCGCTCCTCATCTGCCCCTGAACAGTACTCAATACAATGGAGTTGCTCTCTGACTTGAAGTGCAGTTCCGACACCTCAACTTGCTGGCCTGTCTTCCTGAGCAGGACATAGCCATCCATGACCACATTCCAGCCACGTGAGCTGTCCCACCATGTCTCTTTAACTGCCACCAGATCTCAGTCTTCTGACCAAACACAGATTTCTAACTCCTCCTGCTTATTCCCCATGCCACATGCTTTGGCGTCCAGGCACTTCAGGGAAGGAGCTGAGCATGCTGATTCCACCTCATGAGGGGTGGGAGGCCTCCTGGTCTTCATCTCTGTGGGGGCACTGACCCACTGCTACAAGCCCTGCTACAGCTGCCTACAACCCCATTCATACATACAACCCCATGCATACAAGTCTTTCACCAGCCGTCCCAAGGCCTTGGAAGATTTCTTCATTCCCCTCAGACTAAATGACACAGCTTCCTCCACAGCTGTCTGCAATATTGTCAGTAGATAGTAGCATGTGAGGCACAGCCAGCTGATGAGTGTCCTGATGATATCTCTGATCCAGGCTCTGATAGTCCGCAGACTTCCCTGGGAATGAAGGGAATGCTCCGGGTCCTCATGACCAGTCCCCAGTCAGCTCGGGTGATCTCCTTTCAGTGCTCCTTGGACCCAGTCTCTGCCAGGTGAGACACGACCCTTCATCAGGGCTGTGGGGGCAGTGGGACATGGACAGTGCAGAAGCTGGAGCTGTGTGCTTCATCATATAGGGCATGGCTCACGTGTGATTCCCCCTCGGGAGTGTTCTCCCTACTCCACAGGAGACCCTGGATGGAGAACTGATCTCAGGTTTTCCCCTGTACCTGCAGTAGCAGCTCTGCTGAGACATGGGGCTCTGCAGTGCCCATGTAAAAAAATCAAGGGTTAGGGATATCAGTAGGCCCTAGACTGTGCCACTACTGCTCCAAGCTCTCCCTCACACTTCTACTAACCTCTGTCTGGGAATCTTCATGAGCTCAGATGTTAATGCTCACCATGTACACAAGGAAGCAAGACACGAGCTCAGGGCCTGCTCAGCAGCTGGGATTATCCCAGCAAAGAGCTTCATAAACTCACAGCATGTTCATGTCTCCCACAGGCAGCAGCCCCTCACACAACGCCCAGCTCCCTTCCAGAGGTGAGCCATTGCTCATCAGCCTTTCCCAGCACAGCCGTCCTCCAAGGCTTGCCTTAGCCACACTGTGTTCCTCCTCTCTCCCAGGCTCAGCCATGCCCCTGGAGGTCTGGATCCTGTGCTCTGCCCTCAGCCTGCTCCTGCTGCTGTCTGCCCCCATCATCATCCATCATGGAGCCATGGAGTCAGTGTGGCCAGGCAGCCTGGAGATGTCCCTGTCCCCATGGAGCTCTGATGTCCCCCTGGGCTCCATGCTATTCTCAGCCTGTTCCCTCATGCTCAGAGCATGACCCCCACACATTTGTCAGACTCCCACTGCTGTTGGGTTCAAGGCAGCTGTGGCAGCATGCCCAAGGGATGTGCTGCCACTGCTCTGATTCCCTTGGCTCAGCGCCTTCCTTCAAGGAAGGGAATTGAGAGAGCAGTGCGGGAGAGCTCAGGTGCTTTCAGGATGAAGCCTCTGCCTTTCCTGGTTGTTGTGTGGTCGCATGAGGGTCAAAGTGTGGGTGCAGATGGCTCCCACACTGCTGTGCTGCCAGCAGTACGGCCCCAGCTGAGACTCCCTGAGAGTTCTTCATAAGCTGAATCACCAACAGGATGAAGGAGAAATCTGCCCACAGCCTTGGCAGCTGCCCCAGAGCTCTGGCGTCACTTTGGCCTTGGTGCAGGATTCCCCTGATGCCATCATTTGTCTCAACATTGAAGAGAAGCAGAGTGACGTGTTCAGAAGAGAGCAAATCCGAGTGGGCACAAGGGGCAGGAGCTCTTTATAGGGACATTGTTGCCCCTGAGATACAAGTAAAACTAGCGTGTGCTGCAGTGTGTGAGAGGACAGAAAAAAACAGTGGGGGCTCAACCAAAGCAGTGGATGTAGCAGATTCTTAGGCAAGGCTCCCACTGATGAGAGCCTCTGGCTGTGGACCAGGCTCAGGTGACCACAGAAAGCTAACAGGACAGGTCCCAGCTGAACCGCAAGCCTCTGCCCCACCGTCCCCAGCTCAGAGCGAAGCAGAAACTCGAAGCAGACGCTGCTCCCCAAAAGCAGCGCCCCAAAGGATACTGTGGCAGGCGCCATGGGCAAGGCTGTCTCCTTCTGGTCCTGCCGTCCTGCTGCTGGCACTCTGTGAGTTGGGACATTGCTGGGTGTGGGGGCTGAGTTCTGGAGGGCTGCTGCTGGGAACAGGACAGGCCAGTGGAGGGCAGAGGGGAGGATGGGGACAGTGTGTGTGGGGCTGTGGTGCTGCAGTTTCGGGCATCGTTGCTCTGGGGAAAACAGGATGGGGATGGCTTCCTCCAAGTATAATACACATTTGAGCAAGGGGCACGCTTCTCCAGCATCATAAATTTTCTGGCGTGTTGTTCTGAGACTCTAGGACTGCTGAATTTTTTAAGGAGATATGGGATTTACCTGGAACAAGACATCCACCCAAAATGGGATTGGAATTCACATTGTTTGAGGGCATATTGAAGAGATACAGCATGAGAACACGCAGATGTAATGATGCCTGCTTAGCAGTGAGGGTTTGGTCAGGGGGGATATGGAAGCAGGGAAATCAGGATGAGCCTGGACACTGCTTTTCTCAGCAAATCCCTCTCTGCCCATTGGTACAGGTGGCAGCATGAGCTCCCAGGACATCTGCAGCTCCCCAGGTACTCGTGAGTCCTTCCCTCCCAGACCCAGGGCACTTGGAAGCCCAACCACTGTGAGCTCTGCCCTATGGCAGCCCTTCACTGCTGTGTCTCTTCCAGGGGATCTCCTGGCTCCTGCTCTCCAAATGAACTCAAGTTCTGCTCAGCCAGGTACCACAGTTGTGCTCCAGTGTATTCTCCCTGTGGTGTCACCCATAAGACGAATCATCATCTGCAAGGATGGGATGGAGGCGTACAGCCACAAAGCCCAGCAAAGGCAGCTGAACTACTCCGTCGTCCTGAACATCACATCAAGAAGTGCAGGAAGATATACATGTGGGTACCAGGCGCTGAATGAGAAGAAACATATGAGTTCTGCCCTCAGTGTTGGCCTCATCCTGGATGTCCCTGGTGAGACACGTCCCCGGGCTGGAGGGGCAAGAAGGGACGGAGGCACTTGCCACCACATGGCTGTGCTGAGGCTGGAGCTGTGTGCTGCAGCAGGCTCTGGGGTGGTTCCCTCATGGGAGTTTTCCCTCTCCTCAGAGGCAACTATGAGAAGAAACTGCTCTCAAGGGCGCCCCCTGTCCCTGCAGCACTACCTCTGCTGCAGACATGGGGCTGTGCAGGGCCCAGGCACAGAGAGCAAGGGCTGGGGATGTGGATGAATGTTGGGTTGAGCCAGGGATGCTCCAAGGTCTGCCCTGTGCATTGATGAGCCTATGGCAGGGCAAGTGGGATGACTGTCATGAGCTGGGCAAGGACACAGCAGTGAGGACATGGCAAGGACCCAGCAGCAGGGACATGGGCACAAGCGTGTGGGTGCCCCAGCTCTCACTCCCTCTAAACAAAACCCTCTGTGATCCAAGGTGAAGGTGCTGGCGTGACCACCCAGGACATCTGCTGCTCACTACATGAGGTTGAGCATGGGGATGGGTGACTGAAGAGAGGTGAGTGTGGGGTGGTGATGGCAAGGGAGAAGGAATTTTTTCTCTGGGCGAGAGCTCCTGGGAAGGAATCGTTTCCCTGCATGGAACACAAAGCATTTTGGTGCAATTGTGTGGTCCCCAGTACAAGAGGGGCATAGAACTCCTGGAGAGAGTCCAGAGGAGGGCTGCAAAGATGATCAGAGGACTGGAGCCAAGAGAACTGATCCTTTTTAACCCAGTAAAGAGGAGACTGAGGGGAGACCTCATCCATGTCTATAAATATCTGAGGGGAGGGTGTTGCGAAGATGGAGCTGGTCTCTTTTCGGTTGTGCCCAGGGAAAGGGTGAGATACAATGGACTCAAATTGGGGCACAGAAAGTTCCATCTGAATATGAGGGGCATTTCTTTACTGGGAGGGTGACAGAGCACTGGAACAGGCTGCCCAGAGACGCTGTGGAGTCTCCAAATCCACCTGGATGCCATCCTGTGCAGTTTGCCCTAGCTGATCCTGCTCAGCAGAAGGCTGGACTCCATGACTTTCAGAGGTCCCTTCCAACCTTGGCCATTCTGTGATTGTGGGATCCTCTCGCCCCCACAATCACAGACAGATGAGAGTGGTGGTGCCATACTTAATCGGCAGGCACACCTTGGCCAAGCTATACTTAACCACTCACAAGGGAATTTAGACAGCACATCCATGGGGGCCCACGTTGGCACAACAGCCGCAGGCATTTTATGCCTTCTGTGGGGTTAGTGCTGCCTGTCGGTGGAAGGATGTGGCCATGGTGCTGAGACTCATTCTGGGAAGGATCTGGGTGCACTGTAGACACTAAGCCTGTCCTTTTGTCCTGCCAGGCAATGTGGTGAGTTCCCCAGCAAGTCCATCACCCACAGGTGAGTGATTCCCTCCTACACCCTCAGAAACCCTAGCCTGGGGAGTGGGCGTGCTGTGCTGCCGTCCCCACGGCATGGGGAGAAGTTGGAGCTTTACCAGGCAGGAGGTGTTCAGGCACATCCTGCTCCCTGCTTCTCCCCATCACACCCCGCTACCCTCACACCCTCTCTCCCCCAGCTCTACATGCCTGGCTCCCGCACACCCTCCCCAAAACCATGGTGCTGGCAGTGGTGGCCATCGGCTTCGTCCTCCTGGCTGCAGGCAGCTGGTTTGCCATCAGGAAAGGTGAGGGAGTGGGGGAAGGAGGGTGAAAGGCTGAGGCCATGGGAGTCCTTCTGGGGGCTGGTGCAGTGGGAAAGGTGGGGGGGGAACCTGGGGGTGCGCAGCTAGGGCAGACGGTGCGTGGGGGCGATGGCTGTGGGCAGCCCAGCTGGGGAGGCTGCTGAGGGAGCTGGGGAGCTTCAGCCTTCGTCCACCAGCCCCAAGATGGGAGCCAGGGCTGGGCAGCACCTTAGCCTGCGCACCTCAGCCCCTGTTCTTCTTGCAGGTGCCTGCAGAGGGAGATGCCCAAGGTGAGCACCAAGTGTTGCTGGCTGTGGGGTGTGCAGGAGGGAGTTGGGGGCATGGCGGGGCCCTGGGGTGCTCCTTGGCAAGGAGCAGTGTTCTCTTTCTGTGTGTGGCTGCATTCCCTGTGCTGGAGGCAGGGAGAATGGGGCTTGCTATTTGCTGTACTCCAGTTCACCACATGATATAGGAAAGTACGACCCGAGTGTGTTTCTCATGGGGCATCCTCACCGCAAACGCACACCCAACAACCATTCCATTCCTCTCCAGGCAGCAGCACGTTGACAGCCCACAGATGGAAACCACAGACCATGGCGAAGTCACATGTGAGTACTACCTCCTCCCTTGGCGGAAGGCATTCACCCATGTCAGGTGGAATTCCAGCACTTCATTTCCCACTGGGACATACAAAATCCCTGCCCGTTCATTAAGGCCAGGTTTCTCTCCAGCACCTCATGTCCTGCTTCTTCCTTGCATGCAGAGCATGGCTGCTGCCTGCACAAGGGACATGGCAGCATCCCAGTGCTCCCAGGGACAAAGCTCATTTGCTTGGGGGGTCCTTCCACACCAGCTCCGGCCTGAGGCAGCATTTCCCCTGCTTCAGCCTCTGCTTTTGTCCTTTCTTCAGTTTCTCTTCAGTGTCTTTTCTGCTTCAAGAACTACACAAAGCACATCACAGCAACGAAAGATGTGGCTCTGTTTCCTTGCCTTGCTGGGGAAAATATTTTAGATCTTGCTCTGAAACCACAGGCAGCAGCCAAGGGAGGATGTTGTGGTTGGGCGTCGGGCTACAGATATATACCTACCTGACATGCACGTAGCTTGAGTTGCAGCATGACCTTTTTTACCCACGCCTGCACAGCGCATTTTGCAAGGTGTGCTGGCTGTGCAAAGAGAGGCGACGCCACAGAAAGCTGGAAAGACACCAAAACCTCAGCATCTCTGCTCCACTGCTGCTTAATGCACATCGCAGATCAGGGTGATGGGAGGGGAAATGTGGTCAGGCGTTGAGTGTTAACCTCAGGCAGCTGATGCCCAAAGCTCGTGGGGTTTCACGCCCTTTCAGTCAGCAAGGGCTCATGGTGTGTTTTTTCCCCACAGACTCCACCGTCGCCCATGTTTGACGGGACAGGGTGAGTCATGGCACAGCTGTGCACAGCTCCTTTCTGCACTCCTGCAGCCTGGTGCACGCTCATTCTGCAGGGCTCACAGTCAGCAGCTGAAGTAACAGGGTTTCATTTCTCCCTAAAGCCTCGTCCTGTGCAGCACATGAGCGACACCACTACATATGCCACAGTGACCCGAACTCAGACCCGATAGCGCTGCCACAGGGCAAGGGCACAGGAGCCTTGACCACGGCTGCCTTTACTCTTTTGTAGGGGGCTCTTGAAGCCATATCATGGGGCTGGGGGGTGCACTTTGGGCTTCTCTGGGATTTTCTGTCACAGGAAATGCTGTGTGTATCTGCTTAGCATCTGCCAAGAGGATGAAGGACTCATATCTCTGTTTGCAATAAATTAATACCTCTAAAATATATCAGGTGTACCAAGTAATATTGTGAGTGCATCAATGGTTTTACCTCATGTGAAACCATCTCCCTGTACTCACTGGAAATTATGTATTCCTAAACTGGATGATAAAGTCACAGGGCTGGTCTTCCATGCACGCACAGTGATGCACATTTGGACCTATAGGGACCGGTATCACTGCAGGGATGTGCTTGCATGTGTCTGCGTTTCAGATCTGCTTTTGTTTAGAAGAAAAATGGACGTCCATAAATCCACGGTCAGGATGGGATGCTCAAGATGCTCATGCCAGGAGCTGAGGGAGTTGGTGGAAGTCATTGCTAGGCCATTATCCATTATCTGTGGTAAGTAATGGGCATCAGGAAAGGTGCCTGAGGACTGCAGGAAAGCAAATGTTAGTCCAGTCTTCCAAAGGGGAAAGAAGGATGACCCAGGTAACTATAGACCAGTCAGCCTCACCTCCATCCCTGCAAAGCTGATGGAACAACTTAGCCTTGGCGTTGTCTCCAGGCATATCAAGGATAAAAGTGTCATTAGGGGAAGTTAACATGGCTTCACCAAGGGGAAGTAATGCTTGACCGAACTGCGAGCCTTTTATGAGGACATAACTGGGGGGATAGATGATATTAAAGCAGTGGATGTGGTCTATCTTGATTTCAGTAAAGCCTTTGACACCATCTCCCACAGCATCCTTGCAGCCAAACTGAAGAAGTGTGGTCAGGATGATTGTGTAGTGAGGTGGACTGTGATCTGTCTGAAGGGAAAAAGCCAGAGGGTTGTGGTCAATGGGGTGGAGGCGAGTTGGAGGCCTGTATCTGGTGGAGTCCCTCAAGGGTCGGTGCTGGGACCAGTGTTATTCAATATATTCTTCAGCGATTTGGATGAGGGAGTAGAGTGCACTGTCAGCAAGTTTGCTGATGACACTAAACTGGGAGGAGTGGCTGACGCTGTGTACGCTGTGCATGGCTGTGCTTCCATCCAGTGAGATCTAGACAGGATGGAGAATTGGGTGAGGAAAAATGTAATGAAATCACAGAATCACAGAATTGTCTAGGTTGGAAGAGACCTTCAAGACCACCTAGTCCAACCTCTGACCTAACACTAACAAGTCCTTCACTAAACTATATTTCTAAGCTCAACATCTAAACATCTTTTGAAAACCTCCAGGGACAGGGACTTAACCACTTCCCTGGGCAGCCCGTTCCAACGCCTAACAACCCTTTCTGTAAAGATTTTTTTCCTAACATCCAACCTAAACCTCCCCTGGCACAAATTTAGCCCATTCCTCCTCGTCTTGTCACCAGGCATGTGGGAGAATAGACTAATCCCCACCGCTACAGCCTCCTTTAAGGTATCTAGAGAGAGCAATAAGGTCATGCCTGAGCCTCCTTTTCTCCAGGCTGAACTCTCTTGGACACCTCCATGTCCTTCTTGTAGCGAGGGGCCCAAAACTGAATAGAGTACTCGAGGCGTGGCCTCACCAGAGCCAAGTACAGGGGGACGATCACCTCCCTAGCCCTGCTGGCCACACTGCTTCTTATACAAGTCAGGATGCTGTTGTCCTTCTTGGCCACCTGAGCACACTGCTGGCTCATATTCGGACGATTATCCTCCCAGGTCCTTCTCCGCCAGGCAGCTTTCCAACCACTCATCTCCCAGCCTGTAGCTCTGCTTGGGGATGTTGTGTGCCAAGTGTACGACCTGTCACTTCACCTCGTTGAACTTCATACGGTTGACCTCAGCCCATTGGTCCAGCCTATCCAGATCCTCCTGCAGAGCCTTCCTACCCTTGAGCAGATAACTTGGTGTCATCTGCAAACTTGCTGAGGGTGCACTCAATCCCCTCATCCAGATCAACGATAAAGACATTAAAGAGGACTGGCCCCAGTACTGAGCCCTGGGGGATGCCACTAGTGACCGGCCTCCAACTGGATTTGAGTCAGTTCACCACAACTCTTTGGGCCCGGCTATCCAGACAGTTTTTAACCCAATGAAGTGTACGCCAGTCCAAGCCATGAGCAGCCAGTTTCTTGAGGAGAATATTGTGGGGAATAGTGTCAAAAGCCTTGCTGAAGTCAAGGTAGCCGACATCCACAGCCTTTCCCTCATCCACCCAGCGCGTCACTTTGTCATAGAAAGAGATCAGGATCGTCAAGCAGGTCCTACCTTTCATAGATCCGTGATGACTGGGCCTGATTGCCTGGTTGCACTGTAAGTGCCGTAAATTCTTGTAGATGGGCATCACGTTTGCTAGACGCCACGCAACTGGGACCTACTCTGATAGCCAGGACTGCTGATAAATGATGGAAAGCGGCCTGGCCAGCTCCTCCGCCAGTTCTCTCAGTACCCTCGGGTAGATCCCATCTGGCTCCATGGACTTGCATACATCCAAGTGCTTTATCAGGTGGCCAACCATTTCCTCGTGGATTATGAGGACCACGTTGTGCTCCCCATTCCCTTCCACCAGCTCATGGTACTGGGTATCCAGAGAACAACTGCTCTTGCCACTGAAGTCTGAGTTAAAGAAGGTATTAAGCACCTCTTCGTTTTCCTCTTCTCTTGTGACTAAGCTTTTCCCCTAAGGATGGGGAGATTCTCCCTAAGGATGGAGATTCTCCTTAGTCCTCCTTTTTGTGTTCACAGAATCACACAGAATCTCTAGGTTGGAAGAGACCTCAAGATCATCGAGTCCAACCTCTGACCTAACACTAACAGTCCCCACTAAACCATATCCCTAAGTTCTACATCTAAACGTCTTTTGAAGACTTCCAGGGATGGTGACTCAACCACCTCCCTGGGCAGCCTGTTCCAATGTCTAACAACCCTTTCAGTAAAGAAATTCTTCCTAACATCTAACCTAAAACTCCCCTGGCGCAACTTTAGCCCATTCCCCCTCGTCCTGTCACCAGGCACATGGGAGAACAGGCCAACCCCCATCTCGCTAGAGCCTCCTTTAATATACTTATACAGAGTGATAAGGTCACCCCTGAGCCTCCTTTTCTCTAGGCTGAACAAGCCCAGCTCCTTCAGCCGCTCCTCATAGGACTTGCTCTCCAGGCCCCTCACCAGCTTCGTCGCCCTTCTCTGGACCCGCTCAAGCACCTCGATGTCCTTCTTGTAGCGAGGGGCCCAGAACTGAACACAGTACTCGAGGTGCGGCCTCACCAGAGCCGAGTACAGGGGGACGATCACCTCCCTAGCCCTGCTGGTCACAGTGTTTCTGATACAAGCCAGGACGCCGTTGGCCTTCTTGGCCACCTGAGCACACTGCTGGCTCATATTCAGCCGACTGTCCACCATCACTCCCAGGTCCTTCTCTGCCTGGCAGCTCTCCAGCCATTCCTCTCCCAGCCTGTAGCTCTTCTTGGGGTTATTGCGCCCCAGGTGCAGGACCCGGCACTTGGCCTTGTTAAACTTCATACAGTTGACCTCAGCCCATCGGTGCAGCCTATCCAGATCCTCCTGCAGAGCCTTCCTACCCTCAAGCAGATCGACACACGCACCTAGCTTGGTGTCATCTGCAAACTTACTGAGGGTGCACTCAATGCCCTCATCCAGATCATTGATGAAGATGTTAAAGAGGACCGGCCCCAGTACCGAGCCCTGGGGGACGCCACTAGTGACTGGCCTCCAACTGGACTTGGCTCCATTTACCACAACTCTCTGGGCCCGGCTATCCAGCCAGTTTCTAACCCAACGAAGCGTGCGCCAGTCCAAGCCAAGAGCAGCCAGTTTCTTGAGGAGAATGCTGTGGGAAACGGTGTCAAAAGCCTTGCTGAAGTCAAGGTAGACCACATCCACAGCCTTTCCCTCGTCCACCCAGCGCGTCACTTTGTTGTAGAAGGAGATCAGGTTCGTCAAGCAGGATCTGCCTTCCATAAACCCATGCTGACTGGGCCTGATCGCCTGCTTGCCCTTCAAGTGCCGCATGATGACTCCCAAGAGGATCTGCTCCATGAGCTTCCCTGGTACTGAGGTCAAACTGACCGGCCTGTAGTTCCCCGGGTCTGCCCTCCGGCCCTTCTTGTAGATGGGCGTCACGTTTGCTAGCCGCCAGTCAGCTGGGACCTCCCCCGATAGCCAGGACTGCTGATAAATGATGGATAGGGGCTTGGCCAGCTCCTCTGCCAGTTCTCTCAGTACTCTTGGGTGGATCCCATCCGGCCCCATCGACTTGTGCACATCCAAGTGCCGTAGCAGGTCACCAACCAGTTCTTCGTGGATGGTGAGGGCCACATCCTGCTCCCCGTCCCCTTCCACCAGTTCTGGGTACTGGGTATCCAGAGAGCAACCGGTTTTACCACTAAAGACTGAGGCAAAGAAGGCATTGAGCACCTCCGCCTTTTCCTCATCTCTTGTAACTAAGTTTCCCCCCGCATCCAGTAAAGGATGGAGATTCTCCTTAGTCCTCCTTTTTGTGTTGATGTATTTATAAAAGCGTTTTTTGTTATCTTTAACGGCAGTAGCCAGCTTGAGCTCCAGATGAGCTTTGGCCTTCCTAATTTTGTCCCTGCACAGCCTCGCTACATCCTTATAGTCCTCCCTAGTGGCCTGCCCAATTTTCCAAAGATTATAAACCCTCTTTTTCCTCCTAAGCTCAAGCCACAATTCTCTGTTGAGCCAGGCTGGTCGTCTTCCCCGCTGGCTCATCTTTGGGCACATGGGGATAGACCGCTCCTGTGCCATTAGGATTTGCCTCTTGAATAGCACCCAGCCTTCCTGAACCCCTCTGCCCTTCAGAACCGCCTCCCATGGGACTCCACCAACCAGTGTCCTGAGCAGCCTAAAGTCAGCCCTCCGAAAGTCCAATACAGTGGTTTTACTGGTTCCCTTCCTGGCCCCGCCAAGAATAGAGAACTCCACCATTTCGTGGTCACTCTGCCCAAGACTGTTCCCGACAATCACATCCTCCACCAGTCCTTCTCTGTTTGTGAAGAGAAGGTCTAGCAGGGCACCACCCCTGGTAGGTTCACTAATCAGCTGCGTCAGGAAGCTATCTTCCACTTTCTCCAGAAACCTCCTAGACTGCTTCCTCTGGGCTGTGTTGTGCTTCCAGGATATGTCAGGGAAGTTGAAGTCCCCCACGAGTACAAGCGCCGACGATTTCGCAACTTCTGTCAGCTGCCTGTAGAACTCCTCATCCGTCTCCTCATCCTGGTTCGGCGGTCTATAGCAGACCCCGACCAGGACACTAGCCTTGTTGTCCCTGCCGATCCTAACCCAAAGGGACTCGATCTTGTCATTCCTAGCCTCGAGTTCTACAACATCGAAAGACTCTCTAATATAGAGAGCCACACCGCCACCCCTTCCATGCTGCCTGTCCCTTCTGAAGAGCCTATAGCCAGGCATCGCAGCACTCCAGTCATGAGACTGGTCCCACCACGTTTCCGTGATGGCAACCAAGTCGTAGCCTGCCCGCTGCACGATGGCTTCCAGCTCCTCCTGTTTGTTACCCATGCTGCGTGCATTGGTGTAGATGCACTTCAGCTGGGTCTTTACCTTATCCTCCGGCCTTGCCACTGCTCCCCCTGGTACAGCCCCAACAGTCCTCGCTCCAGCCCCATCCCCCTTCTTACCTAGTTTAAAGCCCTATCAATGAGCCCCGCCAGCTCCTGGCCCAGGATCCTTTTTCCCCTAAAGGATAGGGACCCGTCTACGGCCACCAGACCAGGTGCTGAGT